TCCATTGGTCATACATATTAAGTTATTTGGCTTCTCCATTTCCTGTACTATTCTTAACCTTCCCCTGTCTGTTTTGTATCTACCATTTATGCTGCTTATTCCTGTACTTTTCCCCCCAGTTCTCCCCCTCCCTGCTGATAACCTTCCATGTGATCTCTATTTCTGTGAATCTGTTCCTGTTCTAGTTGTTTGTTTAGTTCATTAGTATCATTGTTTTTTTGAGATTCAGTTGTTGGTAGTTGTGAGTTTGTTGTCATTTTACTGTACATGTTTTTTATCTTCTTAGATAAGTCCCTTTAACATTTCATATAATAAGGACTTGGTGATGATGAACTCCTTTAAGTTGACCTTATCCGAGAAGCACTTTATCTGCCCTTCCATTCTAAATGATAGTTTTGCTGGAGAGAATAACCTTGGATGTAGGTCCTTGCCTTTCATGACTTGGGATACTTCTTTCCAGCCCCTTCTTGCCTTCAAGGTTTCTTTTGAGAAATCAGCTAACAGTCTTATGGGAACTCCTTTGTAGGTAACTGTCTCCTTTTTTCTTTCTGCTTTTAAGAGTCTCTCCTTATTTATTTTTTGACTGTCCTAAATTCGGTATTAAGTAAAAATTTTACAAACATAACATATATTAGCAGTAACAGTGGAGCTGGAAAATGTTGTGCCTTCTCCAAGCTACCTGGTGAGAACCACCAATAGTGTGGTGGAACTTGTGGCCTTTTCCAAGGCCGCGGCTCTCGTGGCCTGCACATGTTCCCCTCACATCTCCCTGTGCTTGTGGACCAGTTTGGTGATCCCTTGGGTGTCAGAATTCCTTCTGGTAGCTTTATGGAATGGATCAATGAGAATAACCTCAAAGAATTTGTATGTGAGATCTTCACCAACCCAGTAAGAATTTAGGGCTCTTCATAGCTCCACAGTGGCACCCAGCTCGATCCTCAGCAACAGACTGAAGGCTTTGGGCAAACTTTAGCTAGTTAACACCATGATGGACAGACAGGCTTGCCATAGGTTGCGCCCTTAGAAACCAGGGCATTTGCAGCCACCATTGGGCACACAAATCTGACGTATGACATAACCTTGCTTGGTTTTGTATCCTAGCCTGTGTGCTTTATCGGGCTTAGTGGGGCGGGGGGGCCCTCTGGAGCACACAGAGCTGGTGGTACTGCCAGCAGTGCACCCTGAGAAGCAAGTGCATCACATTGGACTGCTGCTTCCTCCGTAGCTCTTGGATATACTTATAGGTGCCCATCTTGGCTTACCTGGTGGTTGGGCCAGATGGAAAAGCAATATGCTCTCCTTACCTTTAATCTTGGGTAATTTGATGTGTCTTGGTGTGTTCCTCTTTGGGTCTAACTTGTTTGGGACTCTTGAGTTTCCTGTACTTGTATGTCTATTTATTTTGCCAGATTGGGGAAGTTTTTCTTTTATTATTTTTTCAAACAAGCTTTCAATTTCTTGCTCTTCTTCTCCTTCTGGCACCCCTATGATTTGGATGTTGGGATGTTTAGAATTTTCCCAGAGGTTCCTAAGTGTCTCCTCATTTTTTTAAATTCTTGTTTCTTCATTCTGTTCTGGTTGAATGTTTATTGCTTCCTTCTGGTCCACACTGTTGATTTGAGTTCCTGTTTCCTTCTCTTCCTTTTCTTTTCCCATGCTGGAACCCTGGGTTTCAAGATGTGTCTCGCTCCCTTGTTGTTCCTCCTAGTTTATCCACAAGTGAATGTGGGATTGCCTGGTCTGCCAGCTGCTGCTTTGGGGGGGTTCTCTCCACCCTGTCTGCCTGTCTCATCCCCTCCTACCAATCTGGATGAATGTTTCTTTTTTAACTCCTTGGTTATCGGACTTCCATGCAGTTTGATTTTCTGGCAGTTTTTGGTTGGTTTTGGTGTTTAAATGGGTTGTTTCACGTTTTTGGTTGTGTGAGGAGGTGAAACATATCTATCTATGCCTCCATCTTGGCTGGAACTGGAGAAACTATCTGCTTTATTCTTTTTAACATAGTCCTTTTTTTAAAAAAGACTTTTTATATTTATTTATTTTTAGACAGAGGGGATGAATGGGAGAAAGAGAGGGAGAGAAACATCAATGTGTGGTTGCCTCTTGCATGCCCCCTCCAGAGGACCTAGCCTGCACCCCAGGCATGTGTCCTGATTGGGAGTCAAACCACTGATCCTGTGGTTTACAGGCCAGTGCTCAATCTGCCGAGCCACACCAGCCAGGGCCTTTTTAACACAGTCTTTGTAACAGTCCCACGAGATAGGAATTCTTATCAGTATTTTACGAGCAAGTTTAGTTTCAGAGAGGTTAAATAATTTGCTTAAGGTTCACAGCTTATTGTGAATTTTATTTTATTTTATTATTTAATTAAAAAAACTATTTTATATTGTATTTTTCAACTAGGTCTGTTGGTGCTAAAGTCATAAACTTTCTGTAAAAATTCCCAAAAGAAGTTGATATTGTTTGTTTTTAATTGGCCTGTAGCTAATGTGAAATAACAATATGTGCAAAATTTTAAAGTTATGCTGTGAAATTCTTCTCCCCAAATTGAGTCTCTTGGCTTTTGAATTAGAGCATTTCAAAAATAAGAATGTTCTTTTTAAATTAAAAAGATAAAACATATTTGTTATAGAAAAATATAAGATTAAGGGGGAAAAAGAAAAAGAAAGAAGAAAGGTAGCTGTGGAAGGGAAATAGTCATATTGACTCATTGTTAACTTGTTAGGGTACAAGTGATATGTAACAAAATATAGTTTGAGTGTGAGACCTAGAGTCAATTTTGACCTCCAATATCTAATGGTTTTGTAAGTTGAGGTTTTCATGGTTTGGGGGCAAATTACTCATTTCACTTTTGCAGATGAGAGAATGGAAGTTTAAAGAGGGCATCCTACATCATAGAGTTTTGAAAATTAAAAGTGATAAGGCATATAAAATGATTGGCATATACATAAAATTCCTGGCACATCCTAGTTCTTTGCACACTGATGTATTGTCTTTTACTGAGATGAAACATGTAAAATTTTACCAGCATTTTCGTAGCCTAATATATCAATACCTTTCAATGATACAAAATTGTAAACTACCTGATAATAAGTAATCTACACTACGGGATACTATAATATATCCAATCATCTCCTTCTCAGTGGACATTGTTTCTAGTTTCTCTTTTGCAATTATAAACAATGCTTCAACGAATATTGTAGCAGACTTTTGTGTTTGTTTTTATCCCATTAGAATAGAATTGGAGGTTGAGGAGTAGGTACGCTTTTAAGATTTCTGATTCATGTTTCTGGATTGCCTTCCAGATAGGTTGTAATTACTGGTATTTATGTTCCTGACAGTAATTTATATGGACACTTGTTTTCCTGCATTCTTACAGAATTTGGCATAATTTTAAAACACGTTGCTGATTTAATCAGTTTTAATTTTCATTGCTGTGATTACTGATAAGTTTGAGGGTTATTTTCCTACACGTATATTGGTCTTTGTGTATTACACTATTTTCCCATTAGTTTTTGTCTCCATTCCTACTGGAGGGTGTTTGTCTTAGTGACCTGAAAGACTTATTTATATGTAAATACTATGAGCCCATTGTTGTATTTGTATTTCCCCCCAACTTGTCAGTTTTTCTTGTATTTTGTTTGTGTTTATTTTTTGAATTTATTGAAGTTTAAAATATTTATGTCAGTATATTTGTTGGTTGGTCTTCTTCTTTGTAGTAATGCTTAGAGAAGTTTGCCCCTCCTTAAACTATATAAATTGGCAGTCCTTGAACTTTTGATCTTTGTAGTCTTAATAACTAAACTATTGAGGTCCCCGAAGATATCTTTTTCCTGGGGGTTACAAGTGTAGACATTTGCCACATTAGAAATTAAAACTGAGACATTTATAAATATTTGTTAATTTATTAATAAGAAGTAAGTCCTTTACAATAAATAGTCCTTTACATGTTAATTTGAACATTTTTAATGAAAAAGTCATATTTTCCCAAATAAAAAGATTATTGAGAATTTTTAAATTTTTGCAGATATCTTTGGCTTAATAGAAGATAGCTGGATTCTCATATCTGCCTCTGCATTTAAACTCCTGCGTTATATTTTTAAAGATTTTATTTATTTTTAGAGAGAAGGGAAGGGAAGGAGAAAGAGTAAGAGATATTGTGTGTGGTTACCTCTTGCAGGCCCCCAATGGGGACCTGCCCTACAACCCAGGCATGTGCCCTGACTGGGAATCGAACCTGCAACTCTTTGGTTGTTGGGCCAGCAACACCACCACCACCAGCCAGGGCTAAACGCTTGTGATATTTATCACAGGACATGTTTGCCTATGGAAAACCTATTTTGTATTTCACAGAATGGGAATGGAAAAGCAAATGTTATCTTATTATTGTTATGAAAATAATTTTGGCCTCATGGGCCTTCTGGAAGGGTTCAGAGGTTCAGACTACACTTTGAGAACTGTTGATTAGAGATATTCACTTATATTTTTCTCTTATATTTTTATGAGTGAATTTAAATCTGGAAAATGAATTTGAGTATTAATTTTCAAATATCTTACAGCTACTGAGTGAGCTTAACTGTTCATTGAAGGCAGTATCCCTTTTTTTGCATATTCTCTCAGATTCCTGATGCATCCACCCCACCTTCAAATTTCACAACATATTTTTCTGAAAACAAAGTTTCATTCATGCTAATTGTTGCATTTTGTTCTAAAAATACTGTTTCCTCACCAATTACGAAAGTGATCATTGTAGAAAATTTAAAATGTACATAGAAACATAAAAAGAATATTTTGTTACTTTGCACATGCAGTATGCCACTGATATGCTGTTATTTGTGTACTATGATGGCACTTCAGTATTGAAAAAATGCTGGCAAGTTAAACTACACATACATTCCTACTCTACTGTTAATAAATTGTACATCTTTTGAGGTTTTACTTAGCTTCTTGGAATCACTCACTCACCAGACTTATGTTTATTACTTTTTATGTGTTCCTAGGTACATTGGATAAAAAGAACAAGACACGGTTTCCTGTCACTAAGTTTGCAGGTTAATGGAGAAATATACATGTTTTGTGATAAGTATTACAGCCACAAACAATTAAAGATATTGTGGGAAAGCCTAAACAAGCTATTATTGAGAAGTGATGGGAGAGTAAAGAGAAGAGAGGGGATTTGAAAAGATTAAGGTTTTACAATCTTTTGGTATTTCATGATTTATTTGGCTGTTTGGGTGAAGCGAAGGAAGGAGTCAAGAATGACCCAGCTATTTAGAAAGACTGAGTGGATAATGATTTTTACTAAAATAGGGAGTTTTCCCCACTCCTAACAAAATAAAACTCTCTGTACATCTACACTTTCCAACTGTTGTTTGACTTTCCAAGATCAGTTCGGCTGTGGCCATGCTGAGGTTGAGGGACCTGGAAATATGCCCGTGGAGATGTCTAGAAGGCATTGGAAAGCTGCCAGGGGTAGTTATGTGGACTAGAGAGTTAGAGGGGTGGTATATAGCATTGTTTAATAGAGGTTAAGGTTATGTTTTGAGAATTCCTAATGGAAGGGAAGGTGGCCAGGGGCCCTCCAACATTTGAGGGGAAAGGCAGAGGAAAATGAGTACAGTAAAAAGTAATAAGAGGGAAAACGGAAGAGTGTCAGTGTAGAAGGCAACTGACCAGAATTTAAAAGATGAGGAGGGAAGGGAAGAAAGAGATCTGAAATGATAAATCTTGCTTAAAAGGACAAGTAAGAACTGCATATTCATTAGATTCAGGAATAGGGAGGCATTGATGATTTTAGCAAGAGCAGCTCAACTGGGAAGCTGAATACAGAAGCTGTAGCAGAGAGGATAGAGATGAGGAAGTGGAAGATACTAAGTGTTGTCTAGTCCTTGAGAAGCTTATCTGTTAAGGGAGTGCAAGTTAGAAATGGACAAAAAAAAAGGGATTTGAAAATGTTTATATTCTAAGGAGAAAGAGGAGAAAGTAAGATATGGGTAAATACCCGAGAGATTGGGAATTACTATCATCTTGAACTTTCTAGAAAAATGACTTCAAACTTTTTGTAAGAATTGTCCTAAAATCTATATTTTAGATAATGCTGAATATGATTTTTGGTACCATTTTATGATACAGTAAGTTTTCACTTAATGCTGTTGATAGGTTCTACTATTTTAAGCAAAATTATGTATAAGGAAACCAGTTGTACCCTAGGACAATTGATATAAACAGCTTTTAAGTTCCTATGGCATCTCATTAATGTTGTAACAAAATGATGTCATTGGAGGACCTGCTGCATTTCCATTGTCATGAATGTTAGTTACTCTATTCTACTGAAGGATATAGAAACAGCTGCATTCTAAAATAGAACAGCTGAGGGCTATTTAATATGATTATGTAGTAGCTTTTTAATAATCGTTTTTATCTTTTCCTTGTGTGTGCATGTGTCTTCCCTCTCATCCCCCCAACATTTTAGTGTGGTTGGTCCTAGCAGTATTACCACTTGCTCCTACAAATGTGCCACACCTGCATAACTGTGAATGGGGAAGTTCATACCAACATTGTTAGACTTGTGCTGTGAATGATATTGATAATTTTAATCGATACTGTAGATTGTAAGGAAGATCTGGGGGGTTGCTTCCATAAAGTTTAGTCTATGATATATATGGTTTTCTACTAGTTTCAGTTAAGGAATGCAGAGCTCTGTATAAGTCAGATTGCTTGAGAATCTCAATTCCAACAATTACTAACTCTGGACCTGAATAAATTACTTACTTTTAGAACTTGGCTTTCTTCATCTTTAAAATGATTATAATAATACCTCCCAGGGTTGTTATGGAGGTTAAATGATGTAATGCATGAAAAACTCAGCTTGGCACAGAGTAGGTAGATTCCAATACATATTAGCTGTTAATAATTATTTTCTGTCTGTCTCCAGGGTTTTGATTTTCTAACCTTGCTGTTTCTAGAGGTCTTCTTGATCAGAGAAGTGTTACTATACTTGAAAAGCAAATAGATTTAAATAGTCACACTGTAGGCTTTATGTGTCTGGGAGGGTAGTGAGAATTTGCAGCATATACAGGGTGGGGCAAAGTAGGTTTATATTTGTTAGTATTCGAAACAGTTTATTCTTGTATTATTTATTATTGTATTATTTTCCATATGAACAACTATAAACCTACCTTTGCTTCACCCTATATAAGCAAGAATATTTATTTCCTGAGGTAGACTGATTGGTTGTTACAGCTGTTTAGGGAAGGTTTTCCTTAGAGGTTTTTGAAAACACAGTATTTTTTGTGGTGGTTCTAGTATTCCTTTATTTTTGGATTGAATACTAAAAGATATTTAAAAATGAGGGAGATGTAGAAAATGACCTAGAATTAGCATGGGGTATTTTATTTGCCGGGAGAGAGAGAGAAGTAGAGAGAGAGAGGGAGAATAGGAGGGTAGGAATTGTAGACTAGCTATTTTAGGTCAGGAAATTAATGTTACCTGGTGAGACTCATGAATATTGCAGGCTTAGTATCACAATTAGTGGATAACCTGTAATTTAACCCAGGGCAGTACTTGGAGGGCAGGAAGTTAGGGTTTGTGCCATGATCTGAGAGTCTTTATTCACTTTTTAATATGAGGTTAGTGTGTTTAAAAATTGAGATGAAATTTAACAAAAAATTAACCACTTGAAACTGTACAATCCAGTAGCATGTTTACATTCACAGTATGCAGCCAAATGTTTATCACGTTCCAAAACATTTTCATCACCTTAAAAGAAAAAATTCTAAACACATCAGCTGTCACTCCTCATTTTCCCCTCCCTGAAGCCCTTGGCAACCACCACTCGTCTTGCTGTCCCTATGGCTTTACCTGTTCTGGGCTGTCATTTGTTTTTAACCACTGTGCATTTGTTTTATTTTCTTTCTGCCTAGAGCATAGGTGGCAAACACAAGGCCTGTGGGCTGAATCTGGCCCCCCACCTTGTTTTGTCCAGCCCTGCATGTTGTTTCTACCCAGCGGGGGCTTAACTGTTAAGGAATAGTTACATTTATACAGTCCTGAAATTACATTTGGTCCTTTGAAGGTAACCTTGAGGCTGATGTCCCGTACCCCCCCCCCCCACTCCCTGTGCCCCGGGGAAAATGAGTTTGACACCCCAGGCCTAGAGTATCTAAATCCCATTAGACATTTTCAGTGTTTGGCCTACTAATTTATTCCTTCTTACAAAGATTGTAGCCTGTAGTTAATTTAGTTGCAGTAACGCTTAGCACTCCACTCCACTGAGACTGCCCTTCTGGCTCTCATATTATTTTCTCTGGTTCTTTTCTGTAGGGTGTTTCTTCTTCCTTGCAGGGAAGAGTATGGTGGGGTGATGGGCTTTTGGTCACTATGCTAGACTTTTCTCTTAATGGATCATGAAATGTTTGGAGCACATAGTTCGTGCATTCATTTCATTCCTTTCTAAAACAGAAACTCTGGGATTTTGGGTCATTGGGGAAAGGAAGCACTAAATGATTAAATATAGTTTCTTGTTTTTAAAGACATATGTTCCATTTTATATTTATATATTTATCATGCGAATTAGTTATACAACTCCTTTTTAGAACCATTCTGATTTTATCTTTTACTGCCATTAGAGTCAAGACTGTTTTTCTTTTGCCTTCTGTATATGCAGTAGGTGCTTATTAAGTGATTAGCTTGAAGAGTAGAACTGTGGGGTAGTAGAGGTAAACATATTACAATTGTAAAGTTAGATGTATATAATGAAACTTAAAATCATGTATGTGATTGCAGGAGGTATAATTTTATATATCTTTGAGGATTTAGTCCCTAAATGTGGAAGTATATTAATAATTGTGGTAATCGAAAGGAAATTATCATTGGGTGGGGTTGGTTTTTTATTTATTTTTTTAAAATTCTTTTTGCTTTTGTTTATTGTTAAAATTTTTAATTACTGTTTACTTTCAGTGTTATTTTGCATTGCTTTCAGGTGTGAGCATAGTGGTTCGATAATCATGTACTTTACAAAATGTTCCCTTTGATGTTTCCAGTACCTATCTGGCACCATATAGTATTATTATTAGTAGTAGTACAGTTATTACAATGTTATTCATTATTAGTAGTAATATAATTACTATATTATTAACTATATTCCCTATGCTGTACTCTGCATCCCTGTGACTGCTTTGTAACTGCCAACTTGTACTTCTTAATCCCTTCACCTCTTTCACCCAGTTCCCCAACCCTCTTCCCTCTGGCAACCACCAGTTAGTCTACTTTCTCTGTCTATGAGTCTGTTTCAGTTTTGTTTGTTTATTTATATTGTTCTTTAGATTCCACGTGTAAGTGAAATCATATGGTATTTGTCTTTCACTGAGCATAATACTCTTACCATTTGTGGTTCATCCATGCTGTCACAAATGGTAAGATTGTATTCTTTTTAAGACTGAGTAATATTCTTTTGTATATAAGTACCACAGCTTTATTATCCACTTTTCTATTAATAGGCACTTGCATTGCTTCCATATGTTGGCTATTGTATATGATGCTGCAAGGGAACACAGGGGTTGGTCTTTTAGCAAGATTAAAGTAACTCTTAGAAATACAATTTATATATAGCAGATTGCATAATGCCTAAGACTATAACTCAATGAATACACTATCACTAAGATCAAGCTAAGTATAGTACATTTTCATTATTTCAGATGGCTCTGTTGTGTCTCCTTCCAGTCAATAAATACTTTATCCCTTTACCTTGCTTAATTTTTTAAAAGAGTATCATTACCATGTGGCATATATTAGCTTGTCTTCCCTACTAAAGTGTAAATTCATAAGCATAGGGACTTGGTTTTACTCAGTATTCTAGTCTGTTTAGCATACTTCCTGACATACAGTAAATGCTCAGCAACTCTTTGATAACTATAAATTGAAAAATACTTGATTGTCTGTTACATACAATGTTATATGGTATATGGGTGCTCTTTTATATACTAGGTGCTGAGGATAAATGATAAATTTTAGTTTTTTAGGATGAGATTTTTGACATTCAGCATGATCTTTA